GTTTAATTTTTTCTTAGCACCGCCTACCACCGTCACCGCAGAAACCATATAGAACCTTGTAAGGCTTGTTCCGGGAACTAGAGGGCTTTGGGGCAGGGCTAATGGGGCTTGAACTCGCTAGTTAGATTCCGGAGCAGTCATGAAACCCTGTTTTCAGGTAAAGATCTAGAAGCATTAGATAAAATCAGCTTCGTCTTCGATTTCATGTAGGAAAAAGCCATGATTACGCAAGTAGTAAGGTCTAATCTTTAGTTGGGACAATTTAGCCCTTTTCAAAGGCCATTTTATCCTATTTTGTCCTTCTATGTCAAAATTCGAAGGCTATTTTGTCTATCAATTTGGAGTACTAATTTACTTAGTATTTTATTTTACGTGACCAAAGTTTATTCAATGAAGGGCTAAATTGTCCCAAAACTGATAATTAGAGGGCTTAATTGTTCCAATCGAAAGTTCAAAGGTCATTTTGTCCCTTTACTAATAGTTTGAGGGCTCTTTTGTATATTAAACCATATTTAAAGATTTCAATTAGTTCAACTTCAAGTCTCCTATGTCTTGTAGTTTTTTTTTTTTTTAGGATAAAGTCGAGTAGTAAATTTATTCAATCAAAGAATCCGAATTACAAACACCGGGGGATAAAACCCCATACCGCACATAGCTAGCAAACATATGACAATCAAATTTGGCTAAGCTGTGAGCACACATATTAGCATCCCTTCTCGTGTGAACAAAACGAACACCTTCAAAGTTCTTGGCTAATTCCCGGATCTCCAAAATTAAGCATGCTCCTTCCCATACCATAGGCTCCTTTTTGTTGATCTCCATAATGGCAACTAAACAATCACTCTCACAATGCATAATCGATACCCTCCCTCCCAAGCTAAACACAAACCCATAAGGATAGCATATACCTCGGCATGTAGGGAATCCGCCACAAATTGCATCCGTTTAGTTGCACAACACAGCACTGCTCTATGGTGGTCTCGAATAACAGCTCCTAAGCCCGCTTTGCCACCTGAAATATCAAAGGCTGCATCGGTATTAACCTTCAAGGTTCCAGGTGGCGGGGGGCTCCAATTTATCCGAGACGAGCGGGGACAATTAGTGCTGGCTTCAGTAGCTCCTTCCATCATCTGCTGCATGTGATGAGTAACACTAGAAACTAAGGCAACCGATGTTCCATAAATATGATCATGTAAGCACCGATTATGGTATCGCCAAAGAACCTACAACGTGAAGAGAAGACGATCAATCGAACCTACCTAAACAGCCTTGACAAACAAATAGACCCAAAAATCATCTCTCTCACCCCATTCCCCCAAGTAATTCTCTAACCAAGGACATGTCGATGCCCACACCGCTTGGCTACAAGAACACTCGAAGAAAAGATGAAATAGAGTCTCAGTATAATTGCTACAAACCTCACAAGCAACCTCAATATTTATCCCACGTTGCTGCAAAATAGTTTTAGCTGGAAGAATAGCCCAAATCAATCGCCATATGAAATATTTGACTTTTGGGTAAATGTTGGCACTCCAGACCAATTTCCATACCGATGATCGAAGCTCCAAAGGAAAATCCTCCCTCCCCAACAATTTTCGAGGCACAACGTAACCCGATCTAACACTGTATCTTCCAAGAGAATCGAAATTCCAAATTAAAGTAACTCTCACCGTATGAAGAGAAAGAGGTATACATCGTATTGTAAGACAATCTTCCTCCAAAAATAAGTCTTCCAAAACCTCATTTATCCAGGTTTTCGACTCCAAATCTATGAGCTCACTAACCCTCATATCATTAGGTTGAAAATCTAAAGTCCTTGGTCTCGGGGTAAAAGTGCGGGGGTTTTTTAATCCATTTATCATGAAAAGCCATGATATACATTCCATTACCAACCCTCCAACGACAACCCTCCAAAAGAACATCACGCCCTGCAAGAAGACTCCGCCAAATAAAAGATGGATTCCTCCCCAACGTTGCTCTCATGAAGCTGGATCCCTAAAAATACTTTGCTTTCAAAAGTCGAAAGCACAAAGAATCTAGATTGTGCACCAAACGCCAACACTATTTTCCAATAAAGATAAGTTTGAAAGCCTTGAGGTTCCGAAACCCAAGGCCACCGTCCAACTTAGAAACGCACATGGCATCCCAATTTCACCAATGAATTCTTCGTTTTCCACCCTTCTCACCCCACCAAAAATTGGCAATGATCATATTAAGTTCATGTAAAAAGGATTTTGGGAATATAAAGTAGCTCATAAGGTACAATGGCATAGATTGCGCTACTGCTTGGATCATCACTGCCTTGCCAGCGATTGATAACAACTTCCCATTCCAACACTTAACTCGGTTCCAAAGTCTGTCTTTAATAAGCTGGAGCTCTCTGGTTCGAGACCTGCCTATCATAATTGGCAAGCCCAGATGCATATCTTGCTCAAGAATTTGACCCACCCCTAGTTTCTGCATAATTTCAGTTCTCAAAATCTCCGAAGTGTTACTACTAAATCAAGCAGAAGATTTATCGATATCAATCCGTTGCCCCGAAGCTATTTCAAATTTACGGAGCAAATCAACATCAGCATCACATTTTGACAATGTAGCTCGATGAAGAAGCAGACTATCATCAGAAAAAATAAATGTGATACCTGAGGAGCATGTCGATTCACTGCAACTCCCTAAATGGTACCATCCACTACAGCATTATGAAGTAAGGTAGAGAATCCTTCCATACAAAGCAAAAACAAGTATAGAGAAAGTGGATCATCTTGTCGGATACCTCTGGTGGGAACAATTAAATCACTCGGTTGCCCATTGATCATCACCGAGTAAGACACTGTTTGCACACACATCATGATGAGAGATACCCAACGGTTTGGAAAACCCATACTCCACATAATGTTCTCCAAGAAAACCCACTTAACCCTGTCATAGGCTTTGCTTAAGTCAAGCTTCAAAGCCATGTATTTCTGCCTCTTTGTCAGTTTTTTCTTCATAAAATGCACAGTCTCAAAAGCAATCATATCACTGTCAAAAATCATTCGATCTGGCACAAACGCGCTCTGGTTTTCACCAATAAGCTCAGGAAGAATTACCTTCAATCTATTGACCAAAGCTTTTGAAATAATTTTGAATACAACATTGCATAAGCTTATAGACCAATAGTCTTTCACAGAAACTGGCGAATCTATCTTCAGGATAAGAACTATGCGAAAACTGTTAATATTTGGCAAAGACCCTCCCTGATTTAGAAAGGATAACGCCATGTGAGTGATATCAGGACCTACCACCCCCAAAAATTTCTAAAAGAACATGGGTGTCATCCCATCAGGACCTAGGGATTTACAGGGGTGCATATCAAAAGTTGTCTGCCTTATCCCCTCCTCCGTAAAATTCATATCCAGATGTTGCTGCATAGACTCAGTAACACGGTCTACTACCTTTTCCACCACCAGATTAATATCCTCCATGGTCAGGTGTGAGGTAGAAAAATATCCCAAAAAAATGTCATAATCTCATGTTCCACTTGTTGCAAATCTGTTTGCCAATTCTCGTCAGCATCCGAGATACCCGAAATCAAGTTCCTATGCTGCCTAGTAGAAGCCATTGAATGAAAGTAACCCGTGTTGCGGTCACCTTCCTTTAACCAAAAGGCTTTGGATCGCTGCTTCCACATGACTTCTTCCCTTTTATACAAACAATCTAAATCATCTTGGCATTGCTGTAGATCATGTGAGTTTCCTCCCAACTGTGCATCAAAATAAGCTCTATCAAACTCTTTCTTCTTCTTTGCAATAGCATGCTTTACATTACCGAAAACTTCTCGATCCCATTTAGCTAACCTCTCCTCTCATTGAAATATTTTGCTCGCCACATCGGCGCCCCCAGATCCTCCCATGCACTCCGAATAACATCTTCAATACCATTATGAGAACACCACATATTTTCAAAATGAAAGTTGTAATGTTTGCCTAATGGTGCCTCTTGACAATCAACAATTCAGATAAGAAGAGGAAGATGATCAGAAATTGTAGTTGGGATGTGTTCTTCAAAACTATACCCGAATTTTTCTAGCCATGAATTAGTTACTAGAAATCTATCAAGCCTCTCAAAGACAAAAGCACCATTAATACGTCTTGACGACGGGAGGTCTTAGGAAAACCATAGAAACCAGTAAAGCGCCACGCATCAACACTACCATCATTAACAATAATATCTATATGGTTCAGGGAATAAGAAACCAAAGATTCTTTTATTGAATTCTGCCAAAATAAAGATAAGCCACCAGCGCGGCCAATACAGTCAACTGAAAAACATTGATCAAAACCAATCCTAGCTCTAATCTAATCCATTTCAAACTGATTTCTATTTGTCTCCGAAAGAAACAAGAGTTGAGGACTTTTACTATTAACCAACTTGGTCGGATTATGAACTGACCGGGGTGCCCCAAATCCCGGCAGTTCCAAGCTATGCAATTCATGGTTCTCGCTCGAGATGGCCTTTATTTGCCATCCCCGCCGCTGTTTGTTGAGTACTAGCAGTGCCTTCACCAACCAAGCAGTTCTCCCTAGTACGTTTCACCATAGCATCTTCCACAATCTCACTCTCTGCATTGATCAAAGACCCTCTCTTCACACCCACCCGATTCCCAAACCCACTAACCGAAGCACCATTCTGACGTCTTGGAGTACTTCGCGCTGTTTTTTTCCACTTCCTAGCTCCCTTGCTTCTATTAGCAGACTGGGCCTCAGAAGACCCAAAAATAAAAGCATTAGACTGCCCCATAGTAGGTTGGCTCAAAGCTGGCCCATGAGCATTTAAATTTGGCCCAATGCTATTATTTATATGTCTTGTATTGTTGGCAGATATGTTTCTCTTTTTTTTTAATTTTCTCACTTTCATCTAGTAAAAATTAATTGCTTTCTAATTAATTTTGATTCTCAAAACAGACGTGTATATATATATATATGATAATATTAAACATATAAAACGTATATATATGTCTTGTATTGTTGGCAGATATGTTCCAAGTTGTTTCAAACTTAATATGTTTGGATAGCAGCACTTGTTACTCTTAAATAAGGTTTCGACTTTTGAATTCAAATTTTGTGAATAGAAAAAAATTATTATTGGGAGAGCTTTACCATAATGAACTGACAAGATTAATTTGTAATTTACCCTAACTCAAAAAATATTAATTTATAAATATACCAAAAAATTCCGTTGTTTGCATTCTAAAATATATGTTCCATATATGCTAGTGTATATATATATATATATATATATATATACTATATACTATTTTTGTCCCCTATAGAATTTACTCAAAAGCCCTTTCAACTTTTAACCTGCAACAACCTTATCGCCCCATTTTGGTCTTTTCTCAAATGGCTAATTACTTTAATATCCTTCTAATCTTAACCTTTTTTTCTAAAAATACATTGTCTTTTTATGTAATTTTAGAATCTAATTTCAATTAATGGTGTTACCACCATTTTAAATGCATGATTAATGGTGTTCCGACCTTTTTAAATTCCATATATATGTTAATCTATTGACTATTGGGCTTTATGAGGATTCTGTAATTTTATATGTTGCTCAAGCCTTTTTCCTTCTTTAGTCCATTTTTCCAGTCCATTTTTGTTGGGTCCGTTTACGGTTTGCACACAAATATTCAGTTTACATTTAGTATGACCCCTATGATGTATTCTTTGATAATTGGGTGTGTTGGGTTATTAGAGTAAATTGCATTTTCTGAAATTATTAACATTACTAAGTGCGTTTTTTATAGACACTGTTAATTATTTTTTGAAGACGGTGCTTGCTGAAAGCTCCTTTCAACTTTTCACCATGGACAACCTTTTTGTCCCGTTTGGTCTTTTCTCCATTTGCTCATTACTTAATATAATCCTTATGTTCTGTATGGTTTGTGTTGGATTGTGAAAGTAAATTTCAGTTGTGTTGACTATTTTTAAGATGATTAACTATGTTCACACACATTATTCTATTTTAATGGACCATATTAAGTGTCAAGGACAAATGATCATTTCTATACTTGCCTATCTTTTTTGTTTTTTTTTTTGTTAATTAGAAGAGTTATAGTTGTTTTGCTAAAGACCCATTTTTATTCTATACTCATCTAATTCCAATAATAGTGTGAAAAATATCAGCATGTATTGAATTATTTAGAATGAATGCAAGTACTTTTTCTTTTGGCACAAAAATGCAAGCACTTTTAAATATATTCTATTTTACTTTAAAAAACAAGAAAATGACTAAATAGATTTACAATGTCTCATATCTTACTTTCTGTAATTGTTTATAAAACAGATGCATCAAATAAACAAACAAATCTCACATAAAAACATGTCTGTCGCGCAAGCGCAGGCTATCCCTCTTGTAATTATTATTTTTGAAGGATTGAACTTTGAAGCCCTGCCCTTGATTGAAACTAAGAGCTAATTAATTGCTTTTACTCTTGAAAAAAAAAATAGCTAATTAATTAACCCCAAAGGGCAAGGCATGCTGGATTAATAACCTACAAACAAACCCAATAGCTATTTTATTTGTTTCTTTTTAATTAAAAAAATAGAGAAACGTAATGAAAAGTCGGCTTCTCAAAAAGTCGCAAAAATTCAATCGTGAACCCTTTGGGTGGAGGATGAGTCGAATTAATTAGGTGATTAGGACTGTATTGATATTTGATGTTGATGGTTCAAGTTTAAACGGGCCATGGCTGATGATAATTAAGAATATAATTCAATTCAAGAAAGAGAAATTAAAATCAAATTTGACTTAACCAAAAACATTGTGCAAAGTTAAATTAAATTTATATTTAAATGGAAGGTAACCTACCACTGTAATTATGGGTTATAGTCTTATAGACTGCAATTTGTTCACCTTTATTAATTTTTCTAGGTCACCAGCCACCAGTTTTCCCCAGCAGTAAATTATACATATGGATATGGTTGGTTTTTTTCTTATTTCTAAATACTTTGGGGACAGTTGACTTACTATGGACACAAACAAAGTTTGTTCACGTTTACTTATGTCCACTAATTCTTCGTTTTGGTCTTAATACAAGGTGGTATTATTATTATTATTATTATTATTATTAATTAGTATTTAGTACTTGATAATAAAAGAGAAATAAAAATTCGAAGTTGCTTCCATGGAAACATACAAATGACCGGTGTTTCACTGATTTTCTAGGTAAACAGTTCATGGAAGTTTCGTCTTCTTGGCACAAAAGGAAGAACATCTCATGTTGTTGAATAACTTTCTCCTTTTCCCCAAATCTACGATTAGGACCAGGAAATTTTATAATGATGAAGTCATTTGAAAATATATGAGAAATTATAAATTTTTTATGTGAGTTAAAGTTACATTATGAACCACGACAAGCTTAACAAAGAAACTTACATTAGCCAAACACAGTTCCTATGTTGCTAAAAATAATGCTTAATCACCAAAATTACCAATGAGATTTATGTCAGGTAAGCAAAATCTCAGATTTGAGTCCCACGGATAGGCACTGTGAGAATTTTCTTACAATTGGATCGAGTTAATGTGTCTGATTAGTAATACCAACGATTAATTGATTCTAGTGATTCTGTATTTGCTCTCATTGAATAAAATCTCGACTATTAATCTTATGAATAGAAAAAACCATCACTAGGAGTTCTTACCTCATAATCGACTGCGATTTGAGTAGAATATGATAAGTCAAACTATCCAAATTTTCAACAAAAAAAAAAAAAACTATCCAGACGAATGCGGATGTTTATGGCTTACCCCAGAGAATATGTAGTCTAATTAAGATATGCATTCTCTAATTAGCTTTGATTATTATAATATAATTAATGAAAGATTAAAGGCTCTTACATAAATGATTAGTAATCACGATTCTTTCTTTCAAAAAAAAAGTAATCACGATTCTTTTTGGTACTAAAATCACTTTTTTTTTTTTACTTCCATCACTTTTTAGAAGAAGAAACTTCTATAACTTCAGACTTTGAAATGTGTAGTTGTTAACCCTTTTTTTTATTATTATTAAAATTCTCTTTGAAAGTATATAGAATTGATGATGATCAACCTAACTCGGTTTAGACAACCTAAGACCCTCTCGGATATGTTTTTTATTGGGAGAACAAAATGAGATTATGATATGTGATCTAACCTTGTAATGTTGTCGGAATAGGGACTAATTTGAACAACTTTTAAGTGGACTTTTCATAAAATGAACATACTTGAAATAACCTATGCATTATTTAGATGTATAAAGATTTTTTTTTTTGGATAATTATTTGATAAAATGACAGTGTAAATTTTGGACTTCACAAAGCGGGTTGAGAAGTTGACATATGTCCATTTTCTGAATAAATTTTGTTTTTAAAATTCAAAACTATCCCTAAAGGACACATGTCAACCCTTAACGCATGTTAAACTCCACTAACAGTGTATTGTATAATTTTCTTTTTTTTTTGGTAGTTAGATGTATAAAGATTTAAGTTATTAAAAGTATTAAAAAAGCTAATCTTCTTTTTTATTACCTACAATTTAATTATGAGTATATTCTATATAATTCAAATTTAAAATTTAACTCATGTTTTAATCATTATTAAGATCTATTTTTACAGATATATATGAAGAAGAAACTAAATGTGATAAACACTAACATATATAATATAAACTTTGAAAATTAAAATGTTACAATATTGGTGAATTATGCATGGAATCTTGGCTTCCTTATCACTACTAAAATGATTCTCAAACCAGAAATATTAATGATTAATAAAAAAGATGGCAATAACAAATAAAAAAAGCCAAAACGTGAGACAGGAATCCCATTGTTTTATCAACCAATTTCATTGTCAACTTAAGAATGATCGTTAAAGCTATCTTTTCATGATCAACATACCACTAAGTGCATCACATATTAATTATATATGATCAAAACATAATAAGACAACTTTTAAGTATATTATCTATAAGTTTTAATTTATTTTACACATGGTTTTCATTATTTTTCACTTTCCTCTCTTGAACTAAATTTGAGGTGAGTTAAAGATTTCATTGTGATCATTTTTTTTTTAATCAAGTTGTTTTTGCTACCTATTCATGAAGAATGGGGTGCCAAATATTGCTCTTCTAGGCTTTCATTGTGATCATTGAAAAAAAAATCCAATTATCAACAAATCATATGACTACTAAACGGGCCAAACGGTCTTATCAGAATCTTAAATGTTATCCTATCTAAGATTCAGTTGGTTTACCAAACACATATTTTTCCACCATTCTCATCTATACAGTAACTAAAATGACCCGTACAGTAACTACTCTCACAAATTTCACTTCCACCGAACCAATTTCACAGATCTATCAAACAGAATCTAATTGTTCTAAAAGGTCATCAATATTTGGTCGACCATCACTCAATCTCAAATAGGGCTACAATGTTTTAATTCGATATCCATATATAATAAGGTCATAAAACTTTAGTTAAATTTATATTTTATAGTGTTGACACCCGAATTTTTATTTTAGGGTAAAATTGTCCATGAGCATGAAAAATAAGATAAATGACTAGGATTTAAATGATGATGTGTTAGTCTAAATTGGATTTTAGGTCATCTTATGGATGTTGTTAGTAAAAGGTTTTGGTTTTAAGTCTGAAAAGCCCAAGTTGATTAATTGAGCCCAAGATTGGTCATAATTTAATTATTACAAGCAGGGCGGCCTGCGCTTGCGCTGCAGTCATCTTCTTATTAGGGCTATATTTTTTG